ACGAATTATCATACATATTACATACAAAACAAAAACTTTGGTAATTTTAATTCAGTTTTACAAGCATAAAAAACGCACATAAATATGATTACATAATAAATCACATAAAAATTATGCAGCCTTTTTTAATCGACGGCACGAATTTGTAGCAATGGTAATCTTAGCCTTATTGTTATTAAGCTTAGTATCCGGCTCTCAAGAAAAGCTTTTCTTGTGTCAAATTGCCTTACTACGGTTTTCGGTTTACGGGTAAAGTTTTTTGTGAAAAAAGAGCACAAAGCAAACGATGTTTGCAACAGAAATATACGGATTCTGTAACTGTGAGTTTTCAAGTGTATACGCTGAAAATTGTGCACACTCTTTAGTTTGCGATTTAGCAAGTGTGAGAGTGAGTTTTAACCAGAGATGGGCATTTTTTGATTTTTCAAACTCACGACACAAATTTATTTGGTAAAAAATACAGAAGATATAAGAGGTTTACTTGCTTTGTTTATTTATATTTTTTATTATCACTTAATTCGTGAAACCCAAAAGTAGGGACACGAATTTCGATACGATACGATACCATATCGATATTTTTGCCATTCGATACCGATACTTTTTACTCGATAGTTTTCAAACGATATTTTTTGGAATCGAATACCAGAACCCTTGTGTCGTATCGAATCGTTAATGTACAATACAAAGTTAATGTACTTAATAAAATATTGAACATTATATAAAAAATAATTTTCTTGTATTAAATTCTTTTTGATGTGCTTACGGAAAAGTACATGTGGGCATTTTCAATCTCGCGTGGCGTGACGAAATGTTAATTTCGCTTTTTTTTCTCCTGGGCCATTTTTCTCACATATGCATATTTAATTTCCAATATTTTCCAATGCAAAAACATTTTCTAACAAATATCATATAAACGCCAGTTTCAAATATTGCTAAAAAATCATCAAAATTTCAAACTTTTTCCGAACTTTTGATTTTAAAATCGCTATAATTTGGTTCTCGAGTGGCTAGAATTTCCACCATGGCTCGAATTAAAGATCTTGAATAATACTACAATTTACTGGTTGTTTAAGTTTTATAAAGTAGTGATGCACAGCTGTATCATAACAAAAACTTTACTTAGTTTATTAAGGTCCAAATGTAACCTTAATATGTTGCCTATATCGAAAGCGCTACGATTGATTCGCACAGAGAGTCCAAAAAGCACACTGTGTGATGAAGAGAGAAAGAAAAATGTCCGGCCTGACAGAGATTCGCTGTAACCGGGTAAAGCTGGGTAGTTCCGAGGGACTGCAGCTTGGCAGGTTCTTGGTACGGTTCATATAGCTCCTCGATTCGGGATTTTCGGTTAGATGTGTAAGGTAACTTAGATAAAATAAAGAAAATGAACGGATAAAGTTTTTAACCTTCAATGGTATATTGCAAAAAATAAAAACTGATGACTTTTGCATGCTTTCCGATTATTTTTGA